AACGTCTTGTTGAACAATGGGCGCAATTCGATACGATCAATGTTTCCCGCATACGCAACTGATACGCTTTGCTTCCACCTCCTTCGAGATGAAAGCGAGAGGTTCGCCAAAAAACAGTCAATTCAGCTCTATCACAAAATAGGGAGACGCGACGCGCTCTTCTAATTTGCATAAATTAGGCGACACGTATCTCGTCTCTTGCGCATGCTGAGTCCTTTGGGGCAGGTCAGCGGAAAGGTATTAAGGCAGGTGTCGCAGATTAAGAATGAAGACAGCCAGCTTTGCGCAGCTGCTATCCGACGGGGGGACGGTTGTTTCCCACGTGATGCGACGCCCATTTTTGGCGCCATCACTCCTCTCACGTTGCACGAGAATAAAGAGACGACAAGTGGCGTTGGATCAACTTGATTCACGTCGCACCCAAAAGTTCTTTTTTTTTAAACGACATGCCTTAACGTTCAGCCAACCGATGGTGCCCATGGCTGAGCACATTTCGGCGAACGTCTCGTTGCGTTGGCCGACGAAGCTTCAGGCGAAGGTACTTCTGACAAGGCGACGTCAGAGGCGTTGTCACTTCTTCCTCTTCAGCCTAACTGATGCTGTCATCGTCAGCCTAAAGTTTGCCTTGATGAAGCCCGCATTTTGCAAACACCCTTCTCCTACATTGGCGGTTTGTCACCTTTCAGATGACCCAACATAGAGCTACAAGTATACCGGGACCCAAAGATTCCCAGCATTGGTGGCAGCACATGCACAACAGCAGCAGCAGCAGCAGCATCGATGCTGCTGCTGGTGCTGCTGCCGTTTTCAGCGGGTCGACCGGAGCTTGTTAGCGTTTAAGCATTACTAATCACATTGTATTTGATGCTGAGTCGTCGATAGAAGTTGGATCGATCAATAATTTGAGGGAGAGAGAGAGAGGAAGAGAGAGTGAGTAACTAAGAGAGAGAGAGACAGAGGCAGAACGTTTCTCATTGCAACAGCGTTAGAGAGAGAGGGAAGACATAGGAAAGAAAGAAGGTAATGAAAAACAGTTGTTGCCTTGACCACTTGAACCCGCTTAGTTGGAAAGCTACTTGTTTCTACTCATCTCTGCTTGGATTGCATACATCATAAGTCTCTTGAATTGCAGGTGCCCCAACAACACCCAGCGGTACGTACGTTATAGCAGGCGTGCAGAGACTACTGGGTCTTTGCTACCTCCGCACATCTATTTGTCGACCAACATCCTTGTTCGCCGCTCGTCGATGGTCATCAGGTCTGCCGGACGGCTGCCATTCGCTAGCCGATTAAGGAGAGAAGGCCACAACTTTGATAGCGTTAAAGTTCGGCAAAACTGTCGACCACTTGTCCAATCGGTTGACGCCTCCCTAAAAGCCGCCGCCGCCGCCAGAAAGGCATACCAACGCTTAGTGCGTTTCAAAATTTTGTCAAGCAAAAGCGTACGGTGCCGGTCGATCATCAAAGCACCCTAAGGGGAAGCTGCTGCTACAAACAAAAAAAAATAGTTCGGACCTAATGGACTCGATGAACGCGTGGTTACCGTTCGCTCGAGCTGCGGCAATAGGATGGGTTCCGTTGAGCCGACGGCCAATGCCCATTTCGCCGCTCAGCATGATAAGTCAGGAAAGGCTAAAAGCGCCGGACGAACGATTGACAATCAACGTGAGCGGACAACGTTTCGAAACGTGGAAAATCACCTTGGAGCGATACCCGGAAACTCTACTCGGCGGAAAGGAAAAAGAGTTTTTCTACGACGAGCAAGCAAAGGAGTACTTTTTCGACAGGGATCCCAATCTGTTCCGTTACATCTTGTCGTTCTATCGAACAGGCAAGTTGCACTTCCCCAAAAATGAGTGCATGACGGCATTCGAGGATGAATTGGCCTTTTTTGGCATCATAACAGAAATGATCAGCGATTGCTGCTACGAGGATTACAAGGATAAGAAGAGAGAAAATCAGGAACGCCTAATGGACGAACATTCAGATACGGACGCCAAAGCGGCTGTACCACTAAACATGACCGTACGAGAGAAGATGTGGAGGGCTTTTGAAAATCCGCATAGCAGCACGCCGGCTTTGGCCTTCTACTATGTTACTGGATTTTTCATCGCCGTCTCCGTTCTAAGCAACGTCGTAGAAACCGTCTCGTGCAAAACTATTTTAAGCCCTGAAGGAATAGTACTCCAGTCGATCACATGCGGCGATCTGTACGACGTACAATTCTTCGTGGTCGATACAGCCTGCGTCATCATATTTACAATTGAATACTTGCTCAGATTGTACGCCGCTCCTAATCGGTACAAGTTCGTTCGCTCCGTTATGAGCATCATCGACGTGGTCGCCATTTTGCCTTACTACGTCGGTCTCGGCTTGCAAGGCAACAAGGACGTCAGCGGCGCCTTTGTTACGCTTAGGGTGTTCCGCGTTTTTCGAATTTTCAAATTCAGTCGCCATTCGCAAGGTTTGCGCATACTAGGATACACGTTGAAGAGTTGCGCCAGCGAGCTGGGCTTTTTGGTCTTCTCTCTAGCAATGGCCATCGTCATCTTCGCAACCATAATGTACTACTGCGAAAAGAAGATGGTTGGCACTACGTTCACGAGCATACCGGCAGCATTCTGGTATACGATCGTCACAATGACCACTTTAGGGTAAGTTGTTGTTTTTATACTCAAGCGCGTAGAGTGCACAAAGCGTCTCCGCCTCAACTGCTGCATGCACTTCCTATAATGGAGCGCGCTTTGCTAATTCGTTTAACGCGAAGACGAATTCGTCGTCTGGCTCTTAGAAGGGGTCGAAGAGGTTTGCAATTATTTAAATTTCATTAGAATAAAAAATTCCTTCTAAGAAAAACCAGAGACGTCACAATGCATTGAGCGTTTGTAAGATGGACAGGCAGGTAGGTCTCTTCCATAATTGTCAGACCCATTGATTTCGTCTAGTGAGCCACTTGAGCTGCTTAGGCTTACTGATAAGGGAACTGGCTGCCGCCGAGTAGAGCGAATAAACGATCGGCCACTTGCTAACGCGCTCCCCTTTCAACTGACCGAACAACCGGATCACGTTTGGTTACATCTGCTCCTCATATTTGCCCTTCCTGCTTTACCGCCGAGACGGTGTACGCTCAGACACTTCTTTTTTGTCAAATTTAAATGAAACTCTATACTTCAACTGCCGTTGTATCGTTTTCTAATGACAGCCGCACCGAGCGGCTGTCAAAGGCCGTAGGCAGCTCGTTTACGACTAGCACTTGCATGATCTCCAGGTGAATCACGACCAGCACTTCAGTGGTCTCTTCAATGGCAAATGATGCAGCAGCACGTCATGCGCATCGATTTACAGCTGCATTACAGAACGCAGTCAAGTGACCAGCAGCTGAACGGGCAGTCACTAATGCTTAGTCTTTCCCTGTATCCAATGGCCTAAGACTATGCGGCACATTTTACCCATAAACTTTTGAAGACCAAATGGGACAGCAGCGCGAAAACTGCACCAATTGGTCCAACGGGTTTTCGTGATTGCAAACAACAAAGAGCAACTCGTTTCAGCACGGCTCCATTATGGGCTCGTTCGCTTTGGAGACGCATTTCGCTAAGTTATGTAAAAATGATTGAGTGACCATTCGTCACGCACGTAAACTCGTCTGCCTTCCGATTGACGATGGAAAACGCATTGATTGAGAGTATTTTTAAAAAAAAAGCAACTTGAATGAATCCATAGGCGCCAAGCGACGAAGCGCTGCCTGCTTCAACATGAATTCTTTCTCATGACAAGCCGAAGACAGCAACGCCCTTGAAAGGATGCATCCGTTCATTACGGATGCATACCCGAGAGGACTGATCATTCGACAGAGGATAAGTTCCCTTGACGACCTTGATGCTGCTGCTGTCTTCATCCCCTCTCTCTCTCTCAACAACTTCGGGCGACAATCGATACGCCTGACAGGAACGTTGCCGAAGAGAGCCCTGACCCTCCGGATTGGTCTGCCTCTTTCATGAATAAGAAAAAATGCCATTAACAAGGTCCCTTTCGCCGGCTAAGAATCGTCGTTCGAAAAATAGGCGCACCTAATCCCAAAAGGATATTGATTTTATGGTTATTACAAAAACGTTGACGTTGGGAGAATTAGTTTTGGACGGATGATAACGCGTCCAGCGATCATCCAGCGACTACCTTGATTACGGTATCGATCGGATGGATCGCTGGAAGGTATGCAAACATGCCTGAACGATCGTCGCGCTTAGCGTGACGATCTGGAAAATAACCTTATAAAAGCTGACTCCATTTCTTGTCCTGTCCGAAAGGAAGTTGCCTTTCAACGAGAGCAGTCTATAAAAAGGCGGTTGCGCGCCAGTGAGGACAACCCTTAAGCTTACATTAGATTAGGCATGGCAATTTTGAAAGCTCCGCTGAAGTGTTCCTAAAGCGCAAATCCTAATCGAGTCGCTCTCTCTCTCAGAGTAGAATTATCTACGCAGTTGGGAGCTAGTATAACCCTTTAAGCAAAGTTACTTTGACCATAGGATTAATTTTCCGCGTGGCAACCAAGTCTCTCCGCTCCCTAATTTGGTTCGCTTCCGTAAAGCTTATTTGCATATTTTATACGGGTGAAAAAATTGCTCTCAAACAGCCCTAACAGCTGTGACCAGCTTAGACCAATGGACAGTGTTTGGATCGATAGTTGACATTTGTGCGCCGCCGTTGGACACGGGGACAGCCGACCAAAACAAGCCACGTGACGCCTGATAAAATTGAATTAAAACGTGGCAGGAAAGAGATTTCAACGGGACTATTGATTACTCCAATTGACACGTCGCCAAGTCTGCCCATCGCATAGATTAAACCATTGCGACGCTCCTCCCGCCGGAGGGACCCCAGGGGATGTCCCTGATTAGAAGTGAACATCGCGCGCAGCTATTGGATTTAATTAAACGCGGCAAAAAGCTACCGTACCTCTGCTGAAAATTGAAGCATCACGGATGACGGACTGAAATCATTGCAGCTACGGAGACATGGTTCCGTCAACAATGGTCGGAAAGGTGATTGGTGGCGTCTGCTCCTTGAGTGGCGTCCTGGTCATTGCCCTTCCTGTACCTGTAATTGTTTCCAACTTCAGCCGAATATACCATCAAAATCAGAGAGCCGACAAGCGACGGGCCCAGAAAGTAACACTCAATAATTATAAGCATCGAAGCTCAACGTATGCACTTGCTTCTATTTTAGAAACTGCGTATGGCTAGAATACAGATTGTCAAACGAGCCTCCGGTCAAGCCATAGCCCATAAAAGGCGGACCAATGAAGCTCGCATGCACGAATTTGAATTAGGTCGATTGGCTCCCGAAGACCTTAGCAAGGAGGACATATGCGGTTTGCAATACCAGTATTTGCTGAAATGCCTGGAAAGCGTTACGGTAATTTTTAAACTATCCACCCGAAGGCGTAATAACGCATTTAACTTTACGCGCCAGGAACGCAAAGTGGAAAATATTGAACCCGTAACGCAGCAGCGGGACACGTCTATTGCCTTTTGTAGCGTATCTTCGAGTCCCTTTCCCCTGTCGCACAATTCAAGCTTAGACCTTAACGACAAAACGCCTACTGAGGAACGGACGCTGTCGGCCTGCTGCAGATGGCTTGCTCAACATTGCGCCTCTGTACGAATTTGACCAACGCCCTCGAAAGTGCTGCCAACTAAGCGGATTGTTTTCTCAGGCCAGAAGGTCCCCAGGCGATCAGGCAACGGCAAAGGGGTCGAAGAAGACTAGCAAGAAAACAAGGGAAAAAGATTACGGATCCGAAGGTCCCTCAATAACCCCTGCTTCCGGCGACCACATTACCCTAATCCCTATGGATACAGAGGTTAGTGCATCAATAACTTCCCTTCACTTCAATGCATGCGTCTCTTTTACGTCAGGTCGTCCATTTTAGGGCAACAAGGAATATTTGCGAAAACATGTCAGCATTTAATTTAAATAATTCTTCGTCAACTTTAACGGTTGATTTGCTGACGAATAGTGACACTTGCAAAGCTTATGAAGCTGCTTGTGACAAGACGAATTAGCCATACATCAAAGACTCACTAAAGTTTACTATTTGGTAGAATGATAATTAGGTGAACTTGAAAGCTCACTATCGACTAGAAGAGGATGTCTCATCATACTTACTGTATTGGCCAGCAAATTAGGCTCACTTGATAGCCTCTTTGATACATTAGTACGTGTAAAACAATGCTCAATATTATCAGTAACGCAAGATAAGAAAACCCTCTGAATAATTTATAAAGTAAGAAAAGTAACGTCTTATCAATTGTTTCGTTCTTCTGACGATAACCAACGATGCTTTTTCGACGTCACCGTCGACGCTGTAAAAAAATGGAAAGGAAAAAAGAAAGTGGTGAAACTCTACGCAGTCGGTTCATCATTTAAACAGCTCCGTCGAACGTTGCAGCCGATTTGTAACAGCGCTAATTTTTCTCTTTCTAAAAAAGAGTCTTCACAGCCGGACTAGCCGACAATTCAAACTTTCTATAGGCGATCCGACGAAGAGCCCATCAATTCAATCATCCAAAATTAGATCAGCCGAGCACGCTTTCTAAGGACCAATTGTCTCACACTTGCGTGAAACCGCTCCCACTATTTATGGTTAGGCAATTGTCCATGCAACAGTGATGTAAGAGGAAGATATGAAGTGCCACGTGACTACTGACGGCCTGCTTCATTAGGCATACATTGTTAATAAATTGTCATATATGCAAAAAGTACTTTCATCTCTGACGTCACGATGAACACAATAAAATGACAAGCAGAGCTTTCGGAAACCCACATTAAATGCAGAAGGGGCAATAAAACTTTGAGAGAAATATGCTAGAAATTTATTAGCATACGGATTTTTTGCAAGATCCACATTGCTTTAAACTTTTCTAGGATGACAGAAGAGCTACAAGGAAGAAGTGCAAAGATGAACAAACTATTCAATCTACCACTCCCCGTCGTCATCGGCATTCTGCTAGCATCAAGCTGGCAGATGAAGAAGACTACTCAAGCGATCGCAGTGCAGATACATCTGTTCTTTAGAACATCCCCTTAAAAGGAGCATGTAAGCGAGTAGCCAGCGAACAATCGATCAATCCGGTGATCTGAAGCAACGATAGCCCACCAAGGCTAAGACGAAAGAAAGCTGGTTGCCTGAGGAGATGTGGCTTTGCTACTGCTATGGCGACTAGCGCAAATGTCGTCGCTTCAAATGTCTTACCCATCAATGACACCCTAATGATATGCGCAAAGAGTAACGTATATGGAAGAAGCGGCACTATGGGGCCCTTAGAATACTTGATTACAGCGCTACATGCATCAAGTGCAGAGGCGCCCGATAGTAACAGCGGTTTCTTTTCAACACGCGGCCGCGCTTTGAATTGCGGGGAAAATGAAAAGTGAGTCAGCAAGCCAAACCTGCACTCACAAACCTCAAACTCGAAAAACATTTGTTGCGTGACGACGCGCTTGCGTCAGAGCAGAACTGCAAAACGCGCGTGACGTCACGAATTGCTATCAAATCAGTAATAAAACATTTTTTAAAATAACTATTCGCCTTTCTGAAAGCTGACGCGGAATGATCAAAGCAATGGACTGACCGTGATTTGTTAACAAAAGGAAGAATGAACCTTCTTATCACAACAACAACGGCTACGCGCTCGATATGCAACGTTAGGGCGTTCCTTAGAAGTGAAGTTGCGTAAAAGTTTATGAATAGAAAAAAGTAAAAATAACAAATAGATGTGCACTTGATCAAACTTAGCGCAAAAGCAAAAAGCAGCTCGCCTATCTTCGGCAAGCACGTGCGTCAGCGAGCAGCAAAACTGCGCCAACCCTTCGGAGCGAAAGTTTGACGAATACGCGAAAAATGAACGACGAGCAAATTCCGGCGGGAAAAAATTACGGCCCCTAAATTTGCCGCCATTTGACCGGCCGAAGCTGTCAACTTCAGCATGAACGTAGGAAATGATTTGGCGCCGAACGGACTGCAGCTTTTTTGGCAAGAAGAATAGAGAGGAAAGAAACAAGACAAAGTCACTTTGCCAATAGTCGGTCACCAATGAAGTTCAGTGGTAAACAATGTCGGATCGTTAGGCGCCAATGTCCATATGTTACATTTTAAATTAGAAAAGATGACAAAACCGAACAGTACACTGCAATAGCATTTCTAAATAAGCACTGAGTAGTTCGCCCGTTTCGCCCAGATTCACCAAAACTACAAACCAAACAGTAAAGAGCTTTCCAAACTTCATTAGCAACGCCCAGATAAGTTATCAACCAAAAGGATGACCTAAAGGTTGAATATGCCTGACTTATCACCTTTTAGTATCCCAGTCTCAACGGGTTAGGAGGAAGCGCTGGCTCCATCTCATATCTATATCTAGTATCCTCCACGTGTAATGAGCGTATGAGATAATTTTGCAGTACATAGCGAATCACGGTTGCTGAAACCTTTTGACTCAGCAGTGGTAACTGAGCTAGGATTGATTTGACTTGTTCTTTAAAACCCTCAATCTCTGGGTCCATAGATCATTTTCAACACGGCAGTTGCCGTGTTGAAAATGATCTATGGACATTTCCACTCCTTTGATAAGACGCACAGTATCAGCAACCTAACAACACAACGACAGCATGGTTAATTATTTGGATTTCCTAACGAACATTCATATTGCTACGTGCAAATCAGCTGACGTACACCTGCGAACATTTTTCGTACGTTCACTTTAACTCGTAGAATCACGACAGACCTTTTAACGTAATAAAAGAAAAGAATAAAAATTAGATAGCTTTCGGAGCAGTAGCGACCCTTCAGCTCATTAACAGAATACTTATACACTGATTAAGGTTAAGGACTGAATGGGAAGCTTCGAAGTTCTTGCTGTTTCATTACATTAAACGATCTATCCTGATTTAATTAATGAATAGTCGTTACAAGAACTCCTATATTCAAATATTTTTTCATTATGCACTATTAGACTAACGGAGGTCTCTTCCTGTATGTGCCCGCAAATAATACAGTAATCTGGCAATAATCAGGTTTTCTCTGCTCGTAAACATACGGTAGAATAAATAACACGATTTCGCGGTTATGCATCCTCCCGTTATGCTGTGACTTCGCCAGCCATCCTGTCCTGCCCTTACCTAAGCCTAAACCTAAACATACGGCTTATATTTTGGCTTAGGCTTAGGCCAGGGCAGAACAGGACAGCCGGCACGCTCGCCAGTAAAGGCAGAACAGGACGGCCACACGCTTAGCAGAAAGGAACCGTGAATTTCTCAGACATTACGCGCGAAAAACCAAAAATCGACGTTGTTTATCCTACTGTATGTTTACGATTTGAGCAAACCTGATTATTGTCAGTGTACTGTAATGGTTTGCGGGCAGATAGAAGAACAGACCCTTGTATTCAACACCAATATTGAAACTACTGTTTTCAACAACTGCATTCCAACAGGTCCTCAGGGTTGTACATTATTTACAAGTACTGAAGAGAAGAACTTAAGACCGCGCGAGTGCACGGAGACGGGGCAAGCGTAAAGCTTAGGTGAATGGGCAAAACGTACAAAGAAAAAGCCTGAAGCAACGCCCGCGCGATTTTGTAACGAGTAAAGAGAGTAGAAACCTCCCCTATCAAGTAGAATAACTTCTTCATTCACGTCCTGAAAATGACCAACAAATTTAATTACAGTAACGTACACAAGATAGTACGAACGCCTTACGATACAAGACAACCTGAATATCATTACGGAAAGGAAAGTCTACAACACATTTTAGCTCAAAAACCAGCCATAAAATGATGACTGGGCATAGCAATACTTTTTCGAAAGTTCTCCTCACTAATGCCGGTCGGTCGAGAAACCTAGCCTGCGCGAAGGGGAAATTATAATAAAAATACCATTGCAATGTCACCGATATTCATGTCAGCATTTTAACGAAACTCTGCTAGGCCAATATATACGTTAAATTAAAATGCCTCCCCTTAAGCGTTCGAGAAATCATACTGCTTTCACAGAACGAAGCAACTACAGTAAGACCAGTGCAACGAAATAGTCGCAGAGCAGTTCAAAGTAGAAAACT